GCCCTGCCCTGCCCTGCCCTCTGCCCAAGATAGTTTTTTTGATCTGTGAAAGTTTTTTTTGATCCTTGGAAAATAGTTTTTTTGTGATCCGTTAAATAGTTTTTTTTGATCCCTCACCCCATACCCTAATTTAGTTCTCGAATACCCAAGACCCAACCTTTCAACTTTTTGGGTCTTATAACTTAGCAGTAATCTGAAAGCTTAGCCTTTTATTTCCCTGGTTTGTTGGGGAAGTAAGTTTTAAACCCTAAACACTAAACCCCTAGATTTTGGGTAGTCCACTAAATTAGGGTTCCTTTAGGATCCTGTTTTATAAGGGTTCTCTACATTCGGGTCCCTTTAGGGTTTTTTTGTTATTAAGGGTGCCGCACTATTCTGGGGACCTGAAGACGGGACCCCAATTTAGAGAACTTTTTTTTTGAAGGGAGCACCTAAGACGCCCCTGCTGGTTTGGGGTCTAGTTCCCGGCTTCAAATTCAGAGCTTCAAGTTTAGGGCCTCGGGTGCCTCGGGTTTAGGGCTGTATTTCAAGTGTCTCCGGGCCGCCTGGTTTGGAGATTGGGCCTTTTGGGGCGTAAAGGGTTCACGGAAGGGCTTTCCGGATCAACTTGAACCTCCTGCTCTTCACCATGGATTTAGGGTTTAGGGTTACTTTAGGGGTCAGCGGTAATCAAGAGTTACTGGAACAGAACTTGCAGCAATGGGACCTTGTGTTGTAGCTGTAGTTTCTGCCTGGCATACTTACCCCCAACTGTCTGAACCCTGCGGCGCAAAGTTTAGGGTTTAGGGTTCCAGGTTCCTATAATCTCAGGATTGGGACATGTAGGCTTCACGGTTTTGCGAGCGCGAACGGTTCAGCATTTCCAGGCGAGGCTATGCAAGCCTGATGCAAAAGGCAGACAGGGCTTAGACTTTAGGGTGCAGCCTCCCTAAACCCTAAACCCCTTAAGCTGCATTTCTCGAGTCGTGAGAGTCCAAACCGCTAAACCCCTGCACCCCAAACCCTATATAATGTAGGAACCTGAGTAAGAAACCCCGGCCTGATCACCCCAAATGTTCGGACTCATATGAAGAACCCTAGTACAGACCCGGGTTTTTTTTCAGGTTCCTATATTAAACCACTTCGGCGAGGCGTCGGCGCCTCCACTTCTGCTTTACCGGCCCGAACCTGCAAATGCCCACGGTCCAAGTAATGGAAGAACATGCCACGCCGAAATGCTTCAGGACCTCAGGGCCCCTTTAAACGGCTTAGGGTTTGGGGTTTAGGGTTCCGTTTTAGGCCACTTTAAAGGGTTTAGGGTTTACTTTCAGCTGGGTGCAAGTTTTCGTCTGGTCCTCGCTTGATGGATTGCAAAGTCTTTCAGCATGCTTGCCGCTCCCTTGTGCCACAGGCCATGAGCGAGAGGAATGATACTGCTTGCCATCAGGCCACCTGGCAAGCCTAGGCGCTGAACCCGTTGAGGGTTTAGGGTTTACCTTAAGAACCCAAAACCCACTTTTTTGTAGGGTCCCTATAAATTCCTTATTAGGGTTTATAATAAGAACCTACAAAACAGTGGGTTTTGGGTTCTTAAGGTAGGGTGACCTCGCCATGAGTGCGACGTGCTGCGAGGGGACTTGGCCGGGAGGTCTCCAATCAAGCCTCTGTAAAAAGGGTCACCCCAAAACCCTAAACCCTAAACCCTAAACCTGAACCCGCTTGTTTGACTGTTTGGGGCGTGAGTTTTGTGGTTTGGGGGGTTGAGCTTTGCCACATCTCTTCGGACAAAATTGGACTATGTGGGTGTGAAATCTTGTGCTACGAGGTAAAGACGCGCACACGTTCCTGCCAAAGCCTATCACAGAATGCGGAGATCTCTGAAATCTGCCAACCTGAATTCCGAATACTAAACTTACTACACGCTAAGCCCTAAACCCCAAAACCTTAACCGTCCGAGCTTGAGCGCCGAGATCCTGATTACGATATTATCTTAAACCTGCGGATGCTGCAGTACTTGCAGGTTCAGGGTAGTTATAACCCAACTATAACCTGGGTAAGTGTATTTAGGGGACTTATAATTGGGGTTATAGGCCAGTTATATTTGGGTTACAATTACCATGAGCCTCCAAGTACACAACCCTCTTCCACATTTCGTTCTCTGACCGACGGCCTGGAGTCCCAAGCAAGGCGAACCCCAGCAGCGCCACAAGATCTATAGAATCCTAACTAAAACCCTGTATATATATATATATATATATATATTTAGGGTTTAGGGTTTAGGGTTTTAGGGTTTAGGTTTTAGGGTTTAGGGCTCAAGCCAAGTAACTCGC